CTGCTCAGGAGGTGTTTCTGGGGGAGAGGACACCCACGCTCACAATGTTCTTTGCCTGTGGGAGCCAGGGAGAGCATGGAAAGGTGGGCATCCTTGGGGGACAATGGTGCTGCACCCCGGGACCCATCCGGGCTCCCCTGCCCGGCCCTGGGGGCTGTGTCGCGCTTCCCGGGGGGGTCAGCTGGAGCAGAGCTCTGCAGCAGCGTGGGTCTCACCCTGGGGAAACCCTCCTGGCCCTGCCTGTCCCGCTCCAGCCGGCCCCGGACCACCCAGGGGTGTCCCAGAGACTTGGAGGCACTGGAAGAAGCCGGGAGGGGGACCTGGGGTTCAGGAGCACCCGCTTGACCCCAGACCTGGGCTAACAGAAACCTGCGTTGCAGTGGGGTTGGAGTATTTTATTTTTATTTTCTGGCTGATGTGGGAAACCCTCCTGGCCCTGCCTGTCCCGCTCCAGCCGGCCCCGGACCCCCCAGGGGTGTCCCAGAGACTTGGAGGCACTGGAAGAAGCCGGGAGGGGGACCTGGGGTTCAGGAGCACCCGCTTGACCCCAGACCTGGGCTAACAGAAACCTGCGTTGCAGTGGGGTTGGAGTATTTTATTTTTATTTTCTGGCTGATGTAGAAAGCTTGTGGAGGGATTTGTGGTGCAGCCGCTGACTCGTGGGAGCCATCCAAACCGCTTCAGCTGTGCAGAAGACGCTCAGGTGGAGCTCAGGCCGGGGGATGGCATGCTCTAACCCACTGGCTTTGTAAAATTATTTTCAAGGTGTGACAGTTTTCAGGCAGCAAATAACAACGTGCTGCTTAGGCATCTATAGCTGCTGCTTTTAAATTTTATTGTTTTTTTCTCAAGAGAGAACTGGAAAACACTTGGCTGCGACTTCCCTTCAGGCTGCCTTTTCTTTAGAACAAGAGCCAGGGAGCAGCTGGGTCTCTTAAGCCTCTTCAGCCTTCAGTTTGTGCAAAACCAGTACTGTATTATTATTTTTTTTTAAGCTTGAGAAATGTGCAAAGCTTTTATTTGCAAGTGGTGGGAGGTGCATTAAAACCAGTAAAATAGTTTTCTTTTGGAGGGAATACAATAGAGCTTGGTGGTGGCGCTGTAAATAGGTGTGAAGTCCCTCCGCGGGGGACGCGGGTCGCTCCGTGTGACAGTGACAGGGCTCTGCTGCCCGCTTTACCTCAGACGCCACTGGCTCGGCGTCACCAAGTTTTTACACCCGTTCTGTGTTCCGCAGAAAACACAGAGGAGCAGAGGAGTCGGACCCATAATCCTTTCCCGCACTGTCCTTTTAGAGAGTTGATTATAGATTTTGTAGCTCCAAACACTGGAACAGAGTTGACTTCAGGATCTTTCATGTGTGCACTGCGACCTGCATCCCTTTGTGGCTGGTTCTTCTCTTGCTGGAAACGAGACTGAGGTTTTCTTTTTTTTTTTTAAATTAAGTTACAGTGTTAGAATTTACTCTCCCCCACAGGAGAGGAAGAAATAATCCTGCTGCACAAGTTGCCTCAGTACTGGTGCCTCAATGTTAGTTTAACTGCGGTTTGTAGCCACCCCCGGGAGGTTTATTTATGGGGAGGAGCAGAGCTGCACCCACTGACCTGCACCGATAGCAGCAGCAGCAGCTCCTCCCGAGCTGGGAGAAATTCAAGCTGGTTTTGATAACGCAGCGAGAGGGGGCAACCCGGGCACGGCTGCGGCAGCTCGGCGCGCGTCGTGGCGTGGATAAAGCCACTGACAGCTTTAGCAGCGCATGTTGGGAACCAGAGAAGAGATGAAATGTAGCACCCCAGTTGTTTAATCTGTGGCTGATTTAGCTTTATTTATTCGTGCACTTCGGGCTGGATGTGCATGTTCTCACCAGAAACTGAATGTGTTTCCTTTGCACTGATGTACGGAGTTTACGGCCTCAGCACTTCAGCACGTCGGACTGACTTGGCTTTAGCAGCGGCAGCTCTCGCTCTAGATAAAAACGTCGTGGTTTAGCGTTAACACTGTGCGTTACAACTCTCTGCATGGACAAGGGCATTCCCTGAAACCACCGCCTGAAAATCAACAGGGTGGGCAGAGGGGGAGGCAGCCGGAGCTTCTTGCCTTACGAACACTGTGAATTCACTCGCTGGTCAGCAACACCTGAAAAACGTAAAGCTTTCAATTAAAAACATTTAAAAGCCCCCTGTGGTCACAGTGCTGGTTTACTTATAATAAAGAGTGGAAGAGGCTCTGAGAGGCCGTTAGAGGCGGCAGGCTGAGCCCTCACAGCTTTGACTTTTGCCAGCCCTAAGCTCGAGGCCGGCAGTCCCTGGGCGAGGTTTCACTCTGGGTTAGAGGCAGTAGCTGGCTCTGTCTGCTCCTATTTGCTCTGAAGGAACAAAACGATGTGGCAGCTTTGTTTGCACTTTGTGGCCGCTTTGCTTTCTGCACAGTCCTTCTTCCTCACACAGCAGTAACTGGAAAAAGGAGAAATGGTGAAGGGATTCAGTCACGGGGCTCTGAAGTCCACGTCGGCTTGCAGCCGCAGCA